TTTGAACAGAAAGAACTCCAATTTGGCATCCACCCTGCCCTTCTATCAATCCAACTGCTGAAGAACACTGAAGCAGAAACTTCTTCAGGGTAAGTTTAATATGCAGTTAGTTTTATCTGCATCTTCCCTTCCCCTATGGGCAGGAACTGAGATGCAAAAGAAGGGTCAAAGGGGACAGTGAGGAAGCTTTTCAGAAATACAGATGTAAACCATGTCTGTAAACCATCTGAAAGTCACTTTATTATTTTTTTGGCCTTGAACTTTCAAGCCTCCTGCCTCAGCCTCTGGGGTCCTGCGATGGGATTATTGACATGTACTACCTACCATGCCTAACTGGAAAAATCTTAGAAAAGAGGCATTTAAGTAAGGTACCAGTGGTTTAAATGTCTTTTTATTAAGAAATCCAGTGGATTACAGTTTGAAGCCAGCAGGGGCAGAAAAGTCCAAAAGATTTTGTCTCCAAAGAAACCAACAAAAAGCAGGCCTAGAGGTATGGTTCCAGTGGTAGAGTACCAGCTAAATAAGCATCGAGCAAGCCAAGCAAGCAAGGTAAGTGAGCAGTAGGCCCTGAGTTCAAACCCCAGTGTCAGGAAAAAGGAAAATTAAATAAAGAAATATTTAAGACAGAAAGGAGTACTTAAAGAGTCAAATTGGTTTCTTACTCTCTTTTAAACACCGTAGTTTTCAGACAGAGAATATTTTAAAATGCCACACTGGAGCCACCTGTCTAGAAATGAGGTGTAAGAAAAGAAGACATTATAGGAGAAAGGTTGTTTTAAAATTGAAAATAAAATGTTGAGCTAATAACTCTTTCTGCTGACATAGTTGCTGGGCCCAGAGTAAGGGGTCTAGCAGTGTCTAGGTGACAATCCTATGAACCTGTGCTCCCTCATGGGTGTGCCCTGTTCACGTATAAAAGAAAGGTATCCTGTGGCACTACATGTAGCCTCACATCACTTACAGTAACCAAAGGGGAGGCACAGACTCACATCCCATCATCAGCCTCAGCTTTTTCTCTACCATGTCTCCAGAGTTGGGCCCCTGACAATGGCCACACCCTAAGTAGCTTCCTCAAGTCACACTTCATCACATAAGGATACACACACACAAAGTTTAGAGTCATTTTCTTCTACTCTCTTATTGATTTCTGAAAGATCTTCATGCATGTCCAGGAGCAGTTAAAAAAAAAAACTGCAACAGAAATGAGATCACTATCTTTAGACTACAGCAACTGAGTCCAAAACAATGATCTACAGATAGTCCCCCAAAGTGCAGATGGTTTGTAATTACTATAAAGTGACACTGGAAACAATTTTGTGTTTCTATGATTCTAAGTTCCTATTAGCTTTTACTTCTTAAATACAAATTTAACAGTATTAATGGATTAAAAGAAAAACAACTTTCAAGACAAGATGATGTACTAAGCAACATAATATCTTGCCCTATTCACAGTAAAGCTATTTTAGCGTGCAAGTAAAGAATTTCTTGTGCTTATTTAAAATCCCAACAATGTAACTGTTATCTAGTAGAAAAAAACCCCACTGCCCCAGCCATAACATTTCAAAAAAAGAGGGGGGGATGACCCTTGGGGCTTGTGATACTGAAGTTTCTATAAGGCCATTCCATTTCAATTTAAAAAGAGCTTATGTAAGTTTATTTGGAAATAGGTATATTTTAGAAATCTTAGACACAAACGAGTAAAAACATGAAGATCCTCATATGGCCATCCCTTTTTTTGAGAACCCATACGTGTATACTTAGCAACTTGAACTGAAAGGTCATTTTTGGTTGCTTTGCCCGCTGAAGATAATTTGTTAGGTACTATAAATTATTTTGCATCTTAGTTACGGCCTTGTTCATCTAGCTGAGAAAAGATCTATAAAATGTAGTTATAAACACAAAGGAAAAAATGTTCCAGATGAAATATATTACAGGGCTTATGGTGACACAACTGTTTGTCTCTTTTTCTCTTAGTTTTACTTTATTACCTTTAAGTAGTCATACAAAAAGGTTTCAATTCACCATGTCAGTTTATGATTACAATGCATCTTGACCAATGTCATTCTACCTTTTATTCTTTGCACCATACGAGCTGCTCTGGCCCAGTCTGCACACACTGAGGAGTATTTAGTCTTTGCTACAGGGAAGTGAAGGAAGTACAGAGGTCCTGTTTGGTGTTTCCTAGTTAGCACAGAGGAGCATGGACTTAGTGAAAGCTTTCTTCAATGGACTGGAATTCTGAGCTCTGTTTTATTCACAGCACTCACAAAAAAGTACCAACTATCATCAATTAAAGCAAGATAAGTTTTCTATAAAAAACAAAAAGCAGCCGGATGCTGGTGGTTCACACTAGTCATCCTAGCTACTCAAGAAGCTGAGTTCTGAGGATCATGGTTCAAAGCCAGCCTGGGCAGAAAAGTCCCTGGGAGATTCTTATCTCCCATTAATCACTCAAAAACTGGAAGTGGTGCTGTGGCTCAAGGGGTAGAGCACTAGCTTTGAGCACAAAGAGGCTTAGGAACAGTGCCCAGTCCCTGAGTTCAAGCTCCACGACTGGGAATAAAAACAACACAAAACCCCACCAAAACCCTCTGGTTCACATTTCACATCTATGCTCATAGTACCTAGGGCCTGAATTAAAAAATTAGGTTCCTTAAGCCATGGCTTGCTCTTTCAATGGTTTTGGTTTGCTGGATATGCATTTTAAAAGTTCATTCTACCTTGCAGAGGTTCAGCTGAAGTCAGATCAAGCTATGTCTAAGAAAGGAAAAGCAGCCTGATGCTGGTGGCTCACCTCTGTAATCCTAGCTATGCAAAGAGATCCTAGAATCCTGGTTCAAAGTCAGCATGGCAGACAAATCCATGAGACTCTTATCTCTAATTAACCAGTAAAATGCCAAGTGAGGGCAAGAGGCTATGAGTTCAAGTCCCAACACTAGCACAAAAAAAGAGAGAAAGAAATGGAAAGAACCCAATAGATGTATTAGATATATAAAAACTGTTATAGGCAAAATAATAATAATGACAGAAAAAACATCATTTTTATTTGGTCAGCTATATTTTTTTTCCAGTTGGATCATATTAGCAGGAAAGGTCTAGATCTTTACTATATAGGGTGTGAGTTGAGTAATGCCATCCTCAGCCTGGGGATGCCTTCAAGATGGACAAACTATCAGCATGCTATGCCTCATGGAGCAAGATCCATGGAGAACATGGGAGTCTGCTCAATCAGGCAGGGCTGCCTGGACAATTTCTGTAATCCTTCACCTCTGGCCTACCCTGTCCTCATACAAACCCAGGAGGCCAGGGGTCATCAGTTAAACCTCCCCAAACCTTACAAGTTCCTCATTTTTTCTTTTTTCTTTTTCTTTTGTGGTATAGCTATGAAAAATTGGCATATCCTTATTTATAAGCTGGCAGAAAAAACTCATACTCATTAGAGAATCAAATATGTGAAAGTTCACTTCAAGCATCATACTCAGACTTTTTGGGGGCCCTCAAATAAACTGGCATTGTTTAATACTTCACGCTTACTTTATAGCAGATTTCACTCCTTTTACAGAAGCTCTGCCTGTTTTAATTAAAGTGAAAAAAAATTTAAATTTAGGCAAACACATACAACCTCATAGTAAAGCAGGAATGCACTCACAGAGGAAAAGTACTAGAAATTCCCAAGCTATTTTTAAGTGGTAATTAACCACTTGATCTTTGAGGGTCTGAGATAATTAGGAGGAAGTTGGAATTTAATGGAGTGGGATCCACAATTTATCAATATGTTTCTATAGTAAATCTCTTTGAATATCACTTTAATTTCCTACCTTACACAAAACTCCCACATAAACAAAAAAGAAAAGGTCACTTTTTCTGGCTAAAAGTAGGGCTCACATCAGGGGGTCGATGGCTTTTTCTAGTTTCCACTAAAAGCATTGAGCACATTTCAGAGTGCTTCAGAAGTAAGCTAACAAAAGGTCAATTCCTCATTTTCATATCTTCTAAAGATTCTAAATGAATCATTTTCCCATTAGGTCCAGGAAGGTATCTTTTGTGGAATTTGCTCCAAATTTGTCAGTGAAAATGTGATATAATAACAAACAATTCACCAAAACCTGCTATGTCAAAATTCAGAGTAGAACTTTTAGTTTTGGTAAAGGACTGTAGCTCACGTTATATTGCTACTTCCAGACGCTTCCAAAGTAACAGAAAAGAGCATAAAATGTACATTCCAGTGTATGATCTTGAAAATGGAACACAGAAAAACCTATTCTTTGTAATTCTTAGTTATTTGAATAGTCTGTCTAAAACCCCATCCATGAAAGAGAGGAAGAAAGAAGGAAGGGAAGCTGGGAAGGGGAAGAGGAAAGGGAAAGGGAAGATGAATAGAAGGGAAAGGGAAGGGGAATAAAAGAAGGAAGATAAGACAGACAATGTCAGCTCCCTCTTTATACTATGCTAGAATTCATCACCCCTCACCGTTTTCGTTAAGTTTGGGTATGAAATGGCGGGAAGAGAGTCAAATTTCCTGTATAGATGAGTTACTTGCTGAAGACAAATGAATCACTACACACTTGAATGAGAAAATATGAAGAAAGCACTTTTGCACTAATTAGGCCCCATTTTAAGCAATTTGTTAAGCTGTGGCCTGGTGCCATAAGCCATCAGGAGGTGGAGCATGGGGCCACCCCAGAAAACAGAATGTGCAAATGGAACCTAATGAAGCTCTCCATCAACCCAAGACAGTGAGCTGATACAGGCAGGGAGGTATCAGGGAGATACTTGGTGTATAGGCTGCCGGCCACAGAAACACCAGCAGGAAAGAAGAAAAGACACACTGGCTATTTCAATCCATGCTAGAAACCAAATCATGTGGCACTCACCAACAAATTCGGGCCTTCTGGAGGCCCTACAAAAGCTGCCTCTTCCACACAAATCCAGGCTTTGAGACCCACGCTGCTCCAGCTCTGAGTCCCCTATGACTAGCTGCCTGGGAGGGGCTCTGGTACCTGGTGGTGAGGCCTCAGGTCCCTTCTCCTCTTCCTCAAAGGTCCAGCCACTGCCTTCACAAGCCCCTGGGGTGCAGAGAAAGGTGGGAACAGATATGCAAAAAAGGAGGGAAGTCGGTCTTTTTTTCTCTCAGGAGAACACACACAGGAAGGGAGCTCGAGTTTCCGGTCTTAACCAAAATGACTTCAGAAATTATTCAGATGTCTGATTTGTCAGGTTTGTGGAGGGAAAGGGGTGATCTTTTTAGTCAACAGGAATTCTGAGTTCCCCAAAGGCAGAGAATCCACAGGAGAAAAGACACAGGGCTAGGCCTGTAAAGACCAGTGGTATTAGGGAGAGGGGTTCTGTCTGCTTTTTAATACAAGACACCTCTGGCATGTACCACTTTATCACAGACAAACAACAGGAGAACAACTCAATGGAAATAATTTGCCAGCTGTGGGTAGACTGGTCTCAGTTGCTTTCCTTCTGAGCCCTTCTCAGAAGTAACCACCAAGCCAGGTGCTGGTGGCTCAAGAGGCTGAGATCTGAGGATTGTGGCTCATAGACAGCTTGGACAGGAAGGTCTACAAAACTCTTAGCTCCAGTTAAGTCCCAAAAAAGCAAGAAGTGGAGCTGTGGCTCAAGTGGTAGAGAACTTGCCTTAAGAAAGAAAAAGAAAAAAAGAAAAAAGCTGAGAGACAGTGCCTATGCCCTGAGTTCAAGCCCTATACTGGCACACATAGTGTTTGGTACCCATTTAGAAACTTTCTGCAAACCATCTTCTGTGGGCTGTTAGAGTTCATTTGTGAACATACAGCATTACACCTCTACCTGATGAAACCATATATTAAAAGTATTTGTTAGAAAAAAATCATCAACAATGTCAGACAAAAGCTATTAAAGCAATGGCTCTGAAAAAACCTTAAGAACATGAATATATATTGGAGAAGATAACTTGTGCTATCAAGCCTTTTATTAAATAGTGGACACTAGCATGAACAAACCACTCAGGTCAGCAACAAAGTCAAAACAGTTTGGTTGCTGCTGTTCTAATTTAGTTGGGGGCTAAGACCCACAACCCCCATTTCTTCCTGACTCTTCATCTGTATCTTAAGAATCTCTCTTTCTCTCCTTCCCTTTCTCCTTCCTCTTTCTTCCTCCTTTACCCTGTATCTGTGTACATGTGTATATTTAATTCTGACTCAACATTTCTAAGAGTTAGGGATAAAAAAATGTGCAATGTGAATTTGAAAGCAAAATTAAATCATCTCTTTCGAGAAGTAAAATGACCTCATGTCTCCACTCCTGTGCCTCTAAGGAAAAAAGCCACTTGTTACTTTAGCATAATGTGGATTTTCCCCCCTGTCAAGTGGAATAACTTTACAATGTACATAGGAAACTAAACAGCTCTAAATTCTTTACAAATTGGAACACGGAACCAGATGGGGATTGTGTTAACAGTCAGCTCTGGCTACACGCAGCATCCACAGGGCCTCAAGCACTTGGTCATTTTAGAAGCAGATAGCAGAAATCAAAGGTTTAAAGACTCCAAAAGAGTCTTGGTTTGCTTTCTGTGAGCTGTACCCACTTGTGTGAATCTCCCCTAGAATATGAAATTGTTTGCTAATTCTCAAGACTAGAAACTAAAACAAAACAAAAAATAAAAACAATACTAAACTGTGCTATACTTGATGAATCTTGGCTAACAGAAGTTACATTACATAAATGCACAGAATTAGGCACACACTCACCCTACAAACATCATCTATGCCCAGGCTCACCATTTCACATAGAGAAAGCCACTTAGTTTTAAGAAAATACACAAAGAGGATAAATAAAATAAAGATGGAGCTTCATTACTCAAATCAGGTGTGTCTGATGTTGAAACTTCTTTGCTGTCTTCCTACCTCTTCTCACTCGATGCTCTGTGTGTGTGTGTGTGTGTGTGTGTGTGTGTGTGTAAGGATATGCACGTGGGTGAATGCATGTACACATGCAATTTATCTCCTAGATATTTATAAGTACAATTGTAGTATATACATGCACATACATATATGTATATGAACCTCTCAAATGACAAAAGTTTTGTCATTTATAAATTGACAATATGCTAATCACTTAACCAAATAGGAAACACACCATTCCAAATCAAAGGAAAAAGAAATACTCCAAATTAAAGGACACTAATCTTCTGGTCAGGTCAAGAAAACCTGGTGACCAACATGCCTGTTGATTTTTAGGTCTCTTGGCTAATAAATTCAACTGTGATCTTCATTTTTCAACAAAGGAAATGGCTGCACAGACAGCCACAGTTTGCCTTCTCTTTGGGAAGCATGCATCAACTTCTTAAAAGGGTCACACATAACACACTCACACTTTAATTTTTAGTCTCTTATGATAGTGAGCTATTATTGCTAGAACATTCCTGAATTTGGGAGATGTACTTTTCCAAGATTTAGCACTCTAATTAAAGCATTGATACGTTAAACAAAGCACCATGTAGTTTCTAAATTCCAGGCTTCAATTATCATCAGGGACAGAAAGCGGAAGAAAACAAGACTATCTTTTTAATTCAGTAAAATATTTTGGTTTATCTGCTCTGGTGGATCTCAGATCTAGAATGCACATTTTATCCCATGTTTAAAAAATATATGAACAGGTTTTTTTAATGTAACATTATTCCTTATGTGTCTATGTCCAGGTTATTTCTTTATCATGTACATTACAGGGTGTTCAGGTTATTTCTTTAACATGTACATTATGGGGTGTCAATGTAAGTAGGTGAATCTTTCCAAGGAGAATATTTATTTCAGTTTAAATTTTGAGTCCTCCTACAAAATAATCTCATTTGTAACTGAAGCAATTCTGACACCTCCTAATGAAAACAATATTTAAATTGTTACTTAAAAAAAACTCAAGGAAAAGATGAATCCAATTAACCTTATGGCCCAAACATCTCCACACAAAGACATTCAAGAGGGCTCAGGTATTTTCTTGTAGATTTTGTTCCCCTCTCAACTCATAACTAAGTCCGCAAATCACCTGGGATTTCTATGAAAGTTAAAATAACTATACATGGCAAGTATTTTCAACTTCCATAAATTTTCCTCTTTTTATCAGAAGTTAATTTGACTAGTAAAGAGATATTCCTTTTAAGAGCATTTTAGTTCTGGAAGTTTAGAACAAAGTACCTTAAGTTTTTTTTTTTAATGTTGTTTGCCACAGGGAAGGAAATTATGCATGAACAAGGAAGCACTCTGGGTGGGCTCCAGCCTCTAGAAAGAATAGAAACTGCATTTGAAAACTGTGCTGCCGCATCAGACCTTATGGACTAGCTACGGTTTTGCCATCGCTAAAAGCCAGTGCCTTTACATTAAGAGCAAAAACAATGACACGCGCACGAGATTCCTTGGGAATCACCAGTGATGCTGGACTTTTTTTTTTTTTTTTAACTTCAGTAAAGTGCAAGTGCCCTGTCGATTTCCCTAAGAAGGTTTCATTACCCCGGAGCCCAGCCTCCAGCGAGGAAAAGTACTAAGTTTTCAAATCCAGCATCATTCTTGGTGTACACAAAGCCCAGCACACTCAGGATCGTATAGTATAAGCGAACTGTCCTCACTTTGAAAATCAGGAAAGTCGTTACAAAGGGCTTTATAAAGCCCGACTTCTGCTGCCATTCCTCTCTATACGTAGACATAAAATTTAAATATGACCAGGAGCTAGAGCATGCTTTTGGAGGTGTCAGCGAAAATGCTAAGAAGTGTCGGTCCCCTCCGGTGCTGGTCCTGCAGGGCCTGGTCCTGCGCACCTGCAGCCCTAGCCTAAGGTTTATGCTGAGAGGCTCTGCCCAAAAGTCAAAGCTTTTACTCTTTTCCAAAGGGAGAGGCAGCTGAGCGACACCAACACTGGGAATTTCAAATGCTACCTCCTCGTCTTTCCTTTCCTCCTCCTTCTTTTATTAAATCCAACCAGTTACCCCGAGTTTTCCTGCTTAAATTCAATTCGAAAACACTCACGTGGACGTGTGCACCGCACTTTGGGGCCGAGACTGATCCTCGGGCACGAAGAGCAACCTTTGGAGCCGGGGCTCCCGCTGCCCTGTTGGTTTAGCCCAGGTCGTCCCGGACGGCCCCAGACAGCGCTTAAGCTGCGCGGGGACTGAGGGCTGTGGCCGCTGTCACCGCCCTGGGCGCGAGCCGCGCAGGCACTTGTTAGAGTACCCGGCTAACTTGGCCGCGGAGCTCTTCCCAGCTTTCTTTCACAATGACTTCCTGAAGTTGCTCACTCGCATTGTTCCCCATTTCTCTGCCACACTCCCCGCCCCAACCCCCCACCCCCCGCCGGCGGCAGTGGCTCCGACCTGGCTTAGCGCTCCAGGTCCTCCGGCCGCCCCGCGCGCACAGCGCCGCCCGCGGGCGGAGCACCTGGCCAGTCCGCGCGCCGGCCGCCCCGCCGCGCCCGCGCGTAGCCACCACCACCTGCAGCCGCCCGGAGTGGCGGGGGGGCCCAGCTCGCTCCCCGTCTACACGCGCTCCGAAAACTTTAGGGTGGCGCACGCAGTCTCGCCTCCTTCTCTACTTGCCCCGCTGCCCTCCCGGCCCCGCGCGCCAGCCTCGGTCGCCTCTTGGGCGGGCTGTTCCGGGACACTGAGCGGGGCGCGCCCGCAGGGCAATGCAGGACGCGAAGAGGGGCGCGCGTCGTCCCGCCCCTGCCACCGGTCCCCCCGCTCGCCAGGCGCCGGTCCCCACTGCAACTCCGGGACCTGCGGGACCGCGCGCGCACAAACTTTGCGATCGCACCGGGTTGGGGTCCCGTCACCACCCCCTGGCTCTCCCGACCGCTGGGGTGGCGGCGTGCGCGGGGCCGTACCTGCTGGCGCCGCCGTCGGCTGCAGC